CGGCATAAGCGCCTGCCTTGCAAGCAGGCAGTGGTGAGTTCGATCCCCAGTACCGATGAAAAAGACCAAAAAAAAAAAAAAAAGGACACTTTACCTCTACCCACTTCAGCTTGTGTATCATTAGCTAGAGTTCCATTTTTTTTGTGGTTATTTATTTGGAAACAGTGTCATGCTGCGTGGCCCAGGCTGGCCTTGAACTTGTAGCACTCCTCTTCCCTCCTGAGTGTTGGAATTACAGGCACGTGGCACACCCAGTATGGTTCTCTTTAATAACAAACAAACGAACCACCACACTCGCTGAGATAAAATTCACACACCTCCTTATGACTCCTTCTCTTGTAACAACGTTTAGACAGTATTACAGGCGTCACATGAACCTTGTGACTTTCAGGTCTTTAGTGTATGAATAGAGATTCAAGCTTTGAAACAATAAATTTTCAAGTTTGGGAAGGCTACTGGAGGCTTCTTTCAACCATAACAAACAAGCTGCTATCATGAAAATAGCAGGTGACATAACTAGGACCTTCTTCTTTAGGTTGAGTCTTTGAGACAAAACCATGTTTCTGTGACATCTATCCATAGGATGGTCCCCTGCAGGCCTGGTGGTGGTCACACTGCCACCCTTGGAAGCAGCACAGCCATGTGGCACTTGTGGGTCCTGGTTGGTGCGTAGCCCTGCTACCACTGCTGCTGTCCAGTGTGACCTGGCTGCTCCCTTCCAGGGCCAGAGTGCGTGGGCATTTCCTTGCCTCTTAGGGCAGGTCCTAGAAGGCCCGCAACCCATGCAGTGATCTGGACCCTGCTTTCGGGCCCCAGACACAGTGTCCCAGTCTGGCCACCATGTGAGCAAAGGTGCTATGCCGAGACGTCCTGGTGACACCAAAGCTCACACACAAGTGCTCCAGGTGACTTCACAGCTGACGGCCAGCATGGACCACTGGATCATGGAAGATGCTCCTTGTCCCTGCCCACCTTCACCTAGCAGGTGCTCCAGGCCGAAGAGCAGGGTGTCAGGAACTGTTCCCCTAGGGTCAGGGAGCACTTGGGTTGATCCCTGCCGAGTTTCCCATCCTGTAAAAGGCCGGGGTAAGAAAATGCATGCATGGCAGAGTTTTGGGGTGACTGGATACACAGGAGTGATAACTATCATGGCCTGTCGGCCCCCCACTCCTGCAAGATAAAGCAGAAGACTACTATTTTAGAAGGCAACAAAGATTTCCTCTGGCAGATACATCTGCATATAGAAAGTATCTTACAAAATATCACCTCAGATGGTTTGTATTATTCTGTATTCAGGTAGGCAGAAACTTTTAGAAACTACTGTTATCAGGAACGTCATGATGTTTGTCAGTCCTGGTTCCTGGCTGCATGATGGTGTCAATTGCCCATTTAGGGAATAAACAGAGCCTGAAGTAACATGTGTGAAAAGATTTCAGCACCAGGCAACTATGCATGTGGTTCCAAAAAACTCATGCGTATACTCTTAACTCCGTGGACAGAAGCAATCTCTCATCAACCCCACTAAAAGGGTGCTGTATTTATTCCTACTTTAAAAATGAGGCAACAAGGTGCAGATAAACCAGAAAACAGATGGAATTTGAAGAGACGCTGTTTCCCGGATCCTGTACACTTCACTACTGTACCATTCTCTTGATGGTGACACTCACAAAGCCAGGACTCCCCATCTATGTCTGTGGCCCTGCAGTGAAGCTACTGGCCGCACCACTAGCTTTCTTCCTTCTGCCTGCCTATGCCTCTGGACTGCGTAATCATTAACTCAGCCCTTGTACTGTTTGGATTTTACTCCAGTAAGGGCAGCTCCCAGTCACTGGCACTCGCCGTGCGCCAGACCTGGACCAGGTGACCCTGTGCACAGCTAATCTCCTTAACAACCCTCTGGGGCAGGAAAGGAAGGTGAGGCTCTGTGTAAACAGTAGAAGAGAAGCAGTAAAAGAGCAAGGGAGCTGACCCACAGCTGTCCGGCTCCCAAAGCCACAAGTGGAAACACTGCTAGCTGGGCACAGCGCTCACCTAACCTGCACCACAGGTAACTAACAGGCAAGCAGGCAGGCAGCCCCCAGGCCACACTGCTCCCCCAGAGGTTTTACCCTACTCCTTCACCTAGGCAGGACTTCCTTTAAGTGAGGGATGATTTCTTATGCTTTCTGTTGATTGCATGTAATTCTGACGTCCAGATCCTACGCATCACTGAAAAATCCTTTCATGGACCCAAGTGGCATTTCGCAGAATTCACCTTGTGTAGGATGAAACCACGGGAGCTCTTGCTAATGTAGACCTAGGAATTTACCTCCTGTCTTCCTGTGCAGCTCCCTTACCACTCAAAGTGCAATGCAGCTAATTATAGAGCGGTATCAAGATTAAAAGGCAGTAACATCTGTAAAATATTTACAGTTTCTGTTGCACAGCAAGTAGTAAGTGCTAGTTTTTCAGTCTCTTTTCTCTGAAATACAGTTTTTGGCTATGTCCATTGTGATTGACTTTAGAAAACAATTTTGTGAAAATGCTCACTAGGTTATGCAATAGTTGTGATAACACTGTCTGTAGTTTAGTTTCTTCTTTTGCTCAAATTCAGCTAAAATGATAAATAGTAGCTTATTTTAGGACTGAGAAAGAATTCCATCTGAGCCAGTAAAGCAGTTCCTCTCTCTGCCAAAACAGTAACAGGTCTGCAAACAAGAAAGGCCTGTGTGGTCAGCAGGACGATGAGCCCACAGCGACTTCGACAGCACAATCTGGAACTTGTTACATGTCACCAATTTATACAGTAAGGGATAATGAACTTACAGATGGAATTAAGGTTGCTAATCAGTTGCTTTTGTTAAGATCTGGATCTAAAATGCCCCCCTCAGTCTTATGTGTTCACAGGTGACTGGATTATGGAGTGTTGCTCATCTGGGGATTATTCCCTGATGAGGTCCTAGTAAATGTGCTGTTTGGAGGCAGGTCTTGGTTGAAGGAGCTCACTAGAGGCACGACTCCTCTGTCAGGCCCCTCTACCATGCCATTTCTGCCTGGAGCCAGCCAGCCATGGACTAAACCCCCTGAAACCATGACCCAAACCTCTCCTTTACATTACAGGTGTTGGGTATTTTGTCCCAGTGATGGGAAAGTGACTCATATAACTCTAAAGCAGGGAGATTAACCTGGTTCATCTGCAGGTCCAATGTAATCACAAGGATCGTCGAAGAGAGGAGTAAAAGAGAGAACCAGAGAGACCATAGTGAGGACTCAGCCTGACAATTCTGGCTTCGAGGACTGAGGAACTGTCCCCAAGCTGAGGAAGGGGAGCCTGGTTCATGCAGGGAAAGCTGGGGTGACAAGTCTTCCTGACGGCCCCCGCAGGAATGTGGTTCTGTGAGCCTCTTGACTTTAGTTCCAAAGAATTAACTTTAGTTTTCTGCTCTCCAAATCTCAGGGAAATCGGCTTCTATTGTTTAAGCCTCAAAATTTGTGGTAATTTGTTACAGTGGTAACAAGAAACTAAGAAAGTATGTAAACAATACTACAAATTTGGAATTGCACAAAGACAAGCCTACTGTGGTTCTAAGCAGGTAACTGGATGAGTAACAACGTTTTCTTGATTGCACTGCAATGGAGGTCAAGGGAGGTGGAACAGTGAATCCCAGCATCATGGGCTCATTGCTAACACTAATTAGCTGAGAAGTTTTCTCTGCAGTTCAGACTTTAGAACTAGAAATGTCCTATTTGTGACTATGATTAGAAAATAGGACAGCAGTTTAACTACAGTAAGAGTTTTGCTGGATAAGCCGAAAATACTTTTGACACTGTCATTTTTATAATTCCACAAGTAGTTGGTCAGCCAGTTAGTACTAAAATGTATTTCCAAAGGCCGGAGATTTAGCTTAGCAGCTTAAGTGCCTGCCCGGCAAGCACAAGGTTGTGAGTTCAGTCCCCAGTACCAAAATAAATAAAACAAAAATAAAATAAAATGTATCCTCTGGCTCTCAAATCCTTGTATTACTAACCAAGCTCACCACTGAACACCCAAAGGGAACTTCTGATGAGCTTGCAGGCCTATTCTGCTTCATCACAGACCGACCAGTCCTCCCTAGGCCCCCGCCTCCCGGGATAGTCCTTCCAATTCTGTCTCCTCCCTCAGCACAGCCAGGGCCCTGAGAACCCAGAGACTTATGTGAACAGCCCAGTCCAGCTCCTGCTGTGCGGTATTCTCTTTCTCTTAAGCATACGCTATTTATTATTATTTCAGGTTTGTATACTTCGTTTCTCTTGTAGGTTCACGGCACTTCGTTGTCTTACTCTTTATTTTTCTACATACGGTAATACCTCTGTGCACAAATGTTTCTGTTCCTGAACGATTTGGTTTATAAACAGAAGCATTCTGCAAAATTTTTGCTTTCCTGCTCAAACTCTGCATCGCGTGCTAGACAGGAACACAGACGTCTTCCCCAGAACCGTGCACCGCCATGCTTGAGGTGTTCTTCAACAAAACATTAAACAGTAACTCGGGAAGGCACCCCTCTATCTGTAGTGCATTCTTTCAATTTCTAGGTTTCTCCTTCCTTAGCACCGTAAATTTGGTGAATTACATTTGCTCTGAAGTTATATCTTTTTTGGTTGAAGAAACATGACATAAAAGAAGTGTGAGGCTGTGATTGTTCAAATGGTCATGGCCTCATCCAGGATAACAGTAGATTTCTACAGATTAATGCGCATTGTTCAAGGCAGGAATTTCACTACTGCTCAGTAAAGAGAAGCACAAAAAACCAACTCACTGGTTTGTACAATCTTTGTTTCTTGAATCTTTGCTTCAATATTATTGACATGGTATTTCTTATTAACATATTTCTGGCAAGAAATGATGGAGACAAGGTTTTAATCAACATCAAATAAAGAAAAAGTTAGAATCAACGGTAAAACTTATGATTGCTGGTTTATACAAGAAAGTATTAACAACACAAAATGTTAATTAATTTCTAATTCTCTATTCTATTATTTAGTTTCCACGAAGGTTGATTGGACTTGATCCATCATTTTACGGAAAATTAATTATTTCAAATACATGCACCACCTTATGCAACCTGCCTGATTTGCATTGAGGAAAATTCAGCAGAAGTAATTGAGGCACAAGCAAATACTGGCACTGACTGAACTCAATTTTCATTCCAAATTTCTGCAAAATCCCAAGGCACAACAATATCAGATGCAAGGGGGAAAACAAACAAAAGCAATGTGAAAAGGGAACATGAAGAGAGAATATTACAAGAATCCAAGAACAAAGGGACTGCAGAACTACTGAGAGCCCAGAGAGCGAGCTGGAGGACTGCGCAGGCAAGGTGGAGTGAGATATCATATGGCATCCTGACAATTGATGTCTTCATTTAAATGTAAGAATTTACATTCTAATTAGAAAGAATTTACATCTTAATCAGAGGCAGCTGTATTATCTTGTTAGTGTTTTTTCAAAGGTAATGAACTAAAGTACTGCTGTGCTTTTTCAACCAGAAACTAAACAGACAGCATCCAGTGCTATTTTATAGCTTACCTGCTGTAAGCTGCTATTAATATTTTCCAAGATTAAATTCTAACTAAGATCTTTCAGAACTGAAAACTGTATCTGACATCGCTAGAATAGTCCGATGAGGAGTTTCTTAAACAAATGCTTTCCTAACCTGTATTTTCCATGTACTTATTTATCAAGCTAACGGAAGCTTCTTGTGGTTTATTAACATAATTCCGTTTTCCTTTGGAGGCTGTGGAAATCTGCTATAGCAGGTCTGCATTCCATCCCCACAAGACCTGGTCATTCTCGAGCCTGGCTCTGGCTCTGGGGGATCACTCACTGAACAGAGACTTCACCTCAGGAAGGGCACTATGATGGGTAACAAGGGAAGCTAACATATTTTAAAAGAGAACACTGGCTTGAATTTTATGTGATGTTATTATTACTGCACTGTAAAATCTAAAGATAGGAAGCTTAAGGAGCATACACCATTTCGAGGGTACCTGGCTGTCATGGTTAGTGACTTAAAGGCAGTAATGCTTTCTGAGTCACACTGCTCCAGCCTAGGTTGTTCCTAATGATGGTAACGAGACTTAGGTGCTGGTGACTGGTGCTGCTGCTGTGGAACCAAGCCCATCATTCATGAGAATCAGTGTGAGCTCACTGACCCATGGTCTAGAAGAAATTGGGCTTGGCCTAGAAGAAATCAAGCGGGAGAAGATTACAAGTGTTAATAAAAATGTAAAATGCCACCTTTGTCCCCAGCACTATGCATCTTTAGGTTATTGATACTTACTTTCATCAGCTGTACCATTAATATGGAGTTGTAGTGCACAAGAGTGGATAATTTGGAGGCACATTATTTATCATTGTGGAATATGATGTTTTACAAAGCAAAAAGGGAAAGAATAAAAAGACCAAAGATACACCTGCCAGTTCATTAAATAAATTACAAACTTGGTTAATCCTTTCAAAATATCCAAACAATATATGAAAGAGTCTAAAATATTTTTGAGGTACATATGTAGTCTTTATTATACTGACTTTCCGGATCCATAAATATAAAAGAAAATCAGATCTTGTGCACATTGGCTTTGTTTCAAAAACAGAGCAATTCCAGGTGACTAAAAGGGGATAAAATTAACATTAAGGTGACCTTTTCCTACTCCAGGCCACTTGGATGACAAAGCAAAGGAAGCTCAGTTCACTGGTGCCTTTTCTTGTATTTCCCATAAAGACCATTTGTAGAAGAAGCAGTTCAGGTGGCTGTGAGTGAAAGCTGGCTGTCGGAGCACCAGCCCACCTGGGGCAGTCTGTCTGTCGGTCTCTTCTATGTATGATGTGCCAAGAGAGCGCTCAGCAATGCCCAATACACTGGACCTTTGTTTTCAAAAGCGCTTGGTATGTTTTTGATTATCTGTTGATTTCATGAAACCCGTCTGCTTTTGAGACAGAATTTCTGAAAGCAAAGCTTGTTTTATTTCTCCTATCTATGGCTGTTTCGAGTGCAACAGGGCAGACTTCCTGGCAGAGGTGGAGCAGCCTCCTGCCATTGCCAGCTCGCAGCCCGGCTCACACTCACTGGGATCACGCTCACTGGGACCCAGCTCACTGCGGCCATATGGGCTTGGACCGGAGGCCTCTCGCTGCATCACTGCTCCGTCTCCTTAACAAACTCCAGCTCATGCCCCTCCCAGCTGACTGCTGGGTGCTGGGGTCCAGGCACCCTGCAGGTTAGGCTCAGGCTGTGACCTGCAGGATGCCTGGACCATGGGCCCTCGCTTACCACCACCCTGCGAGCTCTGTTAGCCACAGGCACAGAGCCATCACTGACCCATCACTCCACCTGACCCATCACTCTGTGGGTCTTGGCCTTCTCCTCTGTAAAATGGGGAGAAGCTTGTTGCTTAGTGACCTTGTGCCTCCTGGGCGCAAGTATGGTGGATTTTACAGTTCTCAAGTTCCTCCCAGCCCTTTCTGCTCTCCTCAATCACAACACCGAGGGTGTTCTTGCCTCTCTGTGTCCAGCCTTGCCCCCTCCCAGAGCTGCTCTGGTCACAGTGGCCTGTAGGGACCTCCTCCTCTTCCTCCTCCTCCTCAATTGCTGTCCTCAACAAATATCTGGGGAGGGCACTATGTGCTGCGGTGCAAAAACAGACAGGAGAAGCACGGCTCCGGCACTGCAGGGGCTTGCAATGTGGTGAGAAGCTAGTGATGAAGACCAAAGACAGTGTAGCCGGGCCAGCCTGTGGAGCGTGCCTGTGAAGACTGATGCGGGGCAATCATGGAGGGCTCACTTCCTGTGGCACTCGAGGCACACAGCAATACTCAGTAATGTAACCATTGGGATCCTGAATTGGTATCTGACTCGTTCAAGTTATGAGTCTTGCTTCCCAAACCACATGGCAGAGCCACCACAATGAAGGAGTGTGTTACGGTTGAGTCATTTGTGTCAATGGGGGAGGTCTAAAAGTTTAACTTAGTAATGCAGCAGTTCTACGTCCTGTAGTGTACAGGACACTTACTGCTCCAGGAGAGTGGGGGCGCACCTCTATTTACCCATTCACCCTTCAAACAGGTTAGGAGCTTCTTGGACCCCATTTTGCTCAAGATGAGCAAGCAGGCCAAGAACTGGGACCAGAATCATTGGCCAACAGCTGGGATCAGAACCTGCCCAATGCAGCAAAGTGGCAAGGGCAGAGCTGGGACTAGGAGTGTAGGCACCAAGGTACGGCAGTCACCATAAGCACCATCGCGGATCACACTGTGTGGGACTAGTGGCACCAGAGAGCAGTCAGCAGCAGTTCCCCACACCAGGCACTTAACAAGTAAGTGGTGAGTGAAGAGTACACATGTGGACTTGGGGCTTTCAGAAGTCTTCACACTGTCCTGTTCTAGCACAAACTAGATTTGTCTCTGGAGCTGTCTGGAAGTCACCTTGCTTAAAAGTATTCAAATCTATGTCCTAGCATTATTTTTCCTGTCTCATTCCCAACTCACAGCCAGCGGTATGCATATGCTTTCCTGCCCAGGACACTGGGTTCTGGGGAAAAACCCATGACACCAACCATCCATGAGGAGCTCACCTTCCTTCACTCAGATGACTTCAACTCAAACACTAACAATATTCAATATCATGGTCTACAGGCCAGACAGGCCTTACACAGCAGGAAGTGTAATCAAATCAACTATCAAGGACCTCCCTTTGCAGATGGAGTTCACCTTCAGGTATTCAAAAAACTAAGAAGACGTGGAAGAAAAATGGAGAAGATAGGTCACATCTTCATTTCAAACAGAATTATGAAGGCAAATAACACTGGGCTGGGTGTGGGCAGGGGACAGCGCCCTGAAGCACTGCTGCCCAGGGGCCAGGATGCCCGCCAAGGACAGCAAGAGAGCCAGCTCCGAGAGGGGAAGCAGCGGCCACGGGCCAGGGCCCGAGCAGCCGGCTAGGGTGCTCCTGTGGGATTCCCCCTGGGACTTGTAGACGTGCAGAGGAATAAATTCCAAGCCACCACAGGAAACCGCAGAGAGGTGCTTACATACTATTCACACAATAGAGGGAAGTAAGAAGACACCAACTCTCCAGCTCTTCAAATTCCTACCATGGAATGACATGACCTTGTGTGACTCACAGGTACGTTATACAACAATGCTTTGTTACACACTAATGACACAGAAGTAGCACTAAAATTCCTATATTTATCACACAGAAATATGATTTGTATATGAAAGTTTATTTACACGAAAGGTGACACACACACCTGGTAAATGAAGCCTTTGAATAACTGGTATTCCCAGCAGTATGTTAAGAATATTAGATGGTATTTCTACTAACAAGAACTATAGGTACCAACTATATATGGTATCAAATATTATATATGTATAGAAATATTCTGAAATTTTAACATGTAGAATGTCAAGTATTTATGATGTTTAAGTATCACAAGGATTAAATTTTTTTTGCTTTTAGAAAAATTTAACATTTTGATTATAAGTAGCCCACTTTTGCTTTGAAAAAATATTTCAAAATAAAATATATCTATTATTTTCTTTATTAAGAGAGGTAATATAACTACAGTTGCAGAGAATTTTTAATCTCTCTTTTTTTTTTTTGTACAGGGGATCAAACTCATGACCTTGTACTTGTCAGGCAGGTGCTTATGCCATTGAGCTAAATCCCCAGCCTATGAGTTTTTAACCTTTGTAATATCATTTAGAGAAACCACTAAAATGTTCAAAAAGACTGCAGCTCCATGTTCAAGGATGTGCAAGAATAGTTTTCAAACCTGTCTCAACCCAAAGCTTTTAGTGACAATGCAATGACATATACGGTCATGGGGACTTTAAGAGTCTTAGTTTTTGGACACTAAAATTGATCTTTAATTGCTTAATGTCATATATGAAATCACAGCAATGTTTCATCACAGCTAAACTAGAAATCATTTCAGGAAGTGAAAACAGGAGTTTTTTGTCTTCTGTTGGAACCAAACATGTATTTTCTTTTAGTAAGAGAAGCTTTTTCAATAAAAACCGCAGTGCAAGCTCAGGAAACTGTCAGTGACAGCGGCTGCTCCTGAGAGCACCAACACACACTCCATCCCTGGCTCTTTCCACCACCCTCCACATTCTGGGCCCTCGGTTTCAAACACCAAGACTTATTTTAGGAGTGGGCACATCAGTATACCAGCTCTTCCTCAGAAAACACCCTGATTGCTTTAAAAATACAATCATGTGGAACAGTGGCACAGGTCACAGAAACGACGGAACCCCCGGTTGGCCAAGGTCCACGGAGGCCCAGGGTGCCTGGAAAGCCTCGAAAGGCTCCTTTCTTCCCAGCTGCTTTGCCTTTCAGTAACATGGTGACAGTAATGGCATTACGCTAACTGCCTCACATCCACTCCTACATGAAAGATATAAGTAGACAAATGACATTAAAAAAAAAAACCTTCCAATTCATTCCAGTTTGGAGGATACTGACCAACCCCTTGGATCGCTTATGTTTGCCACCACCAGCAGCCCTCCAGCATGCGTCCACAGAGGCTGGCCTGAGCCTAGCAGGTCTCACAGGGGCTCCAGCCACCTGGCAGTCTCTGGGCAGTGGTGGCTGTCCAATAGGGGGCAATGCCTGGCTGGTGGTCACGTGCCTGGTGGTCTCGGCTCCCCTCACCTGGCTGCTACAGGGTTAGCCACTGGGGCAAGGCTTGAGAAGCCACGGGGTCCTGAGAGACCACAGGGTCACAGGGCCCTCCTATGAATGCGCCACGCTGGACTGTCAAATGTCCCCAAGTCTTGTGTGTCGCGAGGGCTGCTGAAGGTGCCTGGGTCTGCGGCTGCCATTAATTAATCCACTGTGGGTTTATAGCTGGAGGTGCTGCCAGCAGCCTCCTTCCCCTTCCTCACCTCCCCACTTCCCCACCTCCCCACCTCCCCTGGATGGCTCTGCTTGTTGTGAGCCTGGGAGCCAAACTGGTTGCAGGCTTATGGTATTTTGTCCCAGCCACTGAAAGCCAACCAACTACATCAAATGAACAGAGAATGCAGGTTGTGACTACAAGCTGTTATTAAGAGAGGCGGTGCCCCCCAGACAACCAATCTGAAAGGAGTTGTGTTAACTCATTGAAAATGTCTTAAAAAATGTGAGCAGCTATCTGTTCTTAAGTGCTTCCCACGTATTCATTGGCCTAAGAGTTCTTTTGTATGAGTAAGATTCAGTTTCCTAATAAAAGTATTAAAACTATCTGCTCCTTCTAATAACTTTGTGATACGGCATTATTGCTCTTATTTTATACATAAAAAATGGAAATTTAGAAGGATTAAGAACCTGATATAAGATCACATACCTCAAAAAGTTGGAGTCAATGAAAAAGATTAATTTTCAGAAACTTTTGATATCAAGGAGTATATCTAATATAAAGAAAAGATTTAGCATATATTAAATAAATGAACTGTACATGTTAAGGTTAATGATTAAATACTGCTATCTATGACAAAATCCTCTACAAGTGAAAAACCATGAGTTCGAACTTCTCATCTTCTTAGATGGAAACTCAACCCATTAAAAATAACTCCCATTCCCCATCCTAAATAAATTTAAAAATTCAAACTTAACTATTGCTTGTTCACATTAGAGTCAGTTCTTAGAGCCTTCCTTTCTCAGTATGTGTGAGTCCGCAGTTACAAGAGCTCCTTTCAGGAAAGGCAACTGTCATTTCACTGGTGATTAGAGTAGATTTAGAAGGACAGGAAGATAGTAATTCATTGGTATACTGTCTATGCCAGGCATGGTGATCCAGCACTTGGGCGGTAAGCCAGGACGACTGCCATGAATTCCAGGCCAGTCTGGGCTACAGAGTGGGTCAAGGGCAACCAGAACTGCACAAAATTTTTTTTTCTGTACTATAGCTAAGAGTTGATATTCAGTCTTTGGGAAGAATAAAGATACATATGCTAAGATATCAAGGTGTATTAGGCTACAACAATAACCTGGTTTTGTTCAGCTATTTTTAAGATGCTGTCTTTACTGGACAGTGCTAAAATGAATCAGTCCTGGTCCACGAGGCATAGTAAGAGCCATCTATGAACCACCCTAGAGACGGAGGTTAGGACTCCCTATCGGTACACCCTCCGGAGCGTACTCCCGAGGGAGTGGCTCTCTCCTGCATCACCAGTGTGAGTGTGGTGGAATCCACATTTACCCAACAGCAGAGCCAACCCAGCAGCCTTCCCAGCCCCTGCCAGCTGCCGGTGGGATCAGGACATTCGGTCTCTGCTAAGTCCTCGGTTTCTCTTGCCTTCCACAGCCTTGGCAGTCCACCCCAAGGCGAGCTACACGTCCAAGTCCAGCCAATGTGTCCTCCTGACCACAGTCTCCAGGCAGGGAGGCCCCCAGCTGGCCACGTGGCTCTGCTGGATCTGAGCTGGCGCCACACAAGAGCTCCCAAGCCTGACTGCCAAGGGGTCATCGCTCTGTTTCCACTTCTCTGTGCTGTATTCATTGGCATTTTCTAAGGAAGGGGTTCGTCTGTCCATCTGCCCATCCACTTGTCCATCTCTGGAATCATGTAAGCTTGTTCAGTTTTTAGTGGATTATTTTCCAATGTTTACCCTGTAGCTCGAATTTCCCAGGCTGGCTGTGGGTTCCTGTTCAAGTTGGTGTGTATGACTTTTCTCGCATCCCTCTGGCACTTTGGCTTTCTCCTTATTTTCTAGCACTCGTTCTAGTCGCCTCTTATACCTCACGTGCGGTAGCTCTGGGCTCGGCTATTCTGCCAAGGCTTCCCTTCCCGCTGCTTCTGTGGTGGGGGAAGGGTCTCAGACACCGACTCTGGGAGTGACCCAGGCTGCTACCGCTGCCCACTCACGGCTCAACAGACATGAGACGCCCACATGTGTCCAGGACCCAAACACACGCAAAGGCAGGTGGGCCTGTGCAGAAGGAGTGCAGTGCCCCGTGACTGTCAGCTGTCTGTCTGTCCATCCTCAGGTCACCTCTCCCAATGTGGACCAGCGTTTCCCAGCATAGCAGGCATAGATGAGCAGTTTCAGTCAGCATACCCACAGGGCACACAGGTACCCAGTTTTGAGCTTCACACCTTTCAGCCTTAGTCTTGGCGGACTCAGAAGGCTTTAATTCTGCTTTCCTGTAGTCACCACCTCTCCCTAATTCTACTTCCATCATTTTACTACTAAGGAGGCTCCGCTTGGGCCAGGAAATTAGAAATAAACACAGGAAAATAGAACTTCAAATTTCTTATGATTGTACCAATGGATTTATAAGCATGTACATAAAAAGTGTGTATTTTTGCTAATTATTAATACAAATATAAAATGTGAAATAGAAAGGGTTTGAAAAGATTTTCTAACTTTAAAAGAGGCTCAAATGACTAAAAATTATCAGCTTAATACAATATGTGTTTAAAGTTTCAAATTTAAATATACTATGCATATTTAATACTGGAATAGACTAACATACCACCCCTGCTACAGCTGGGAAGGGTGAATCACAGTGCTCCAATCTGATTTAGATATAACAGCTGTTCAAATGCCAGGGAGTATTTTACTTCAAATGTGGCTATTTAGTTCTGTTAAATATAAATCACTGTGCTGGCTATGCGCATTATTTTCCTGAAAACATCCCTTTTTAAAAAAGCATTTTCGGATGTGAGTGGAACCATTACTAAGTTCAGTAAGCCTTTATATTTTAAGTGAAGTTTTCCCTCCCGACTTTCTGAAAACCTCAATGGGCCAGTCCTCCCTTCATTCTTGAACCCCATTCACTGGTCCCCTGCTCTTGCCAATATAAAAATAATACATTAATCACTTTTGAGCACTATTGTTTTTGGTGAGACTCTAATTGTATTTAAAGTCTTTGTTTTTTTACTGGAATAAGTTTCGATAGTTTTAACTGTACACAGTGATTCCATCTTGGCCAAATGGTACATGTGTTAAATTATTGGTTTTACAAGCACCTATTCTAGGGATAAAGAAATCCCAAAGTTTATAGTGTAACTACAAATGTTTTATTTAAAGAATGGCCCACCACTGAAAGCCGATGAGAATCAGTAAAGGTGGGGCCTCTGTGGGAGTGAAGCAAACTGGGTTTGAAAAGACTGCTGTGTGGGAGAAGCTTCCCTAATCTAGGGTAGGAGAACCAGCGGTGAGCACACTGATAAATGGGTGCTGTGGTTCATTGGAGAAACTTCCCTAATCTAGGGTGGCACCCAGCTGCTGCGGCTCTGAAGCCCCAGAGTCGAGCCAACTTTCCTTCCATGCTAACTCAGCGTAGAGAGAAGGCTCCACGTGGGCATTTCTGCTTCAGAACACAGCGATGGTGCAGGCATAGGAAGAAGTACCCTGCAGGAGGGATCCATTCCCATAGAAGTCAGCTCAGGGTACCTCACGCAGCTCGACACCCTGGGAGTCTGGGACCTGTGATGAGCAACATGTCTATGGCGCAGCTACTAGGCCAGGCGTGGAGAGGGAATAACATAGCAGTGGCAGTCCTGGGGTCACCATGGGACAGGAAGTACAGGTCTAGCAGGTCACATGCAGCTTGGGGTCTGTCTCAGCCCTGCCGAGGTCAGCCTGGTGCCTGGAGGGGTCTGAAGGACACAGAGGTCAGCCTGGGGGAGGAAGTGGAAGGAAGGGAGCAGCCAAGATGTGGCTCTAAGTGGAGAGATGCCTGCACCCTGCACCCTGCAGGATGAGCAAGGGCAAGGAGAGTCCAGGAGGCCGGGCTGCAAGCACTTTTCCAATGCCCATGAGACTCAGCATCCAGGCCTGCTTCCACTAGATAGAGAGTGGGTCCTTCCAAAGCACTTCCTTAAACGACAGCTTTCAAAATTCACTATTCACAGCAGCAGGAAAACAGGGCTTGTAGTGAAGATTACACCACTCAAGGCCTGTCCAAACCAGGAATGGTGGTACATGCTGTAATCCTAGCACTCTGGAGGCTAAGGCAGGAGGACTACTGCAAGCCTGAGACCAGCCTGTGCTAGTCTGTGAGTTCAAAGCCAGTGAGAACTACACAGTGAGACCTTGTCTCAAGTTAAGAAAGAAAGAAAGAGGAAAGAGACAGAGAGAGAGAGAGAGAGAGAGAGAGAGAGAGAGAGAGAGAGAAAGAAAGAGGCCCACCCAGCATTTAGGCTCCACTCCTAGCACTTCTGAGTAGGCTAATGGAGACCACTTCCCTCCCACTCTGCCCTTGGCCTCCTGGAGGGCAGAAACACTCCTGTCTCTTCCTCTCCACACCAGTACCCGCCACACAGCCCCCAGGATCCCAGACCCACACTGTTGCTCTGCCCTGGCTCCTGCAAGGTACACCAGAGCTGTGTCCATTCTTTACTGGTTTCCAAGGAGAGTTCCACAGTTTACAGAATCGAAATCCCTGCTGATTCACCACTTCAGTGTCTGTTTCTCATTCAACAGACCAGCGCCCTTAGTTTCTAACACACTGGGAAGCTCTCCTCCTGAGCTGAAGGCTACATTTAAAGAGTTCCTGGATGGTGTTTCAACAGCATGAAATGAGATATCTGTTATTCAGTAAGAGGCTTATTCAGGGAGATCATAAAGTCTCTCATAATAACTAGCTTTTTGGTCATCTCAAGAAATTTAAACAGGGAAAAAGAGTATTAGATACATTTACATTCTTAGCTCAAAATTGTCATTGTAAATATTTGCTCATTGTTTTAAATTCAGAAATAATAAAGAAATTCCAGTCTTCCAGCGTGTCCTTTGGTCAAACAAATGGAAATACAGGTACCGTTTTATTTAGTAAGGTTAAAAAAAACACTGGAAGCTAGTAAGGCAACCCTAAATTTACAACAGACTATTTTTTTAAGCTTGAAGATAAAATTGAGCCTTTATAAATGAGAAAATGATGTACTAGGAGCAAGCACTAAATCAATTTTAAACACCAGACACAATTTATGCCTGACTTTAAAACTCATCCACGAAGCATTAATCTACGCAAAGGCCAGGAGCTGAATGAAGCATGACTTGTGAAGCTGATGCCGCTCAGCCCAGCCTCAAGCTGAGAAGGTCATTAGATGTGCTATATCTAAGTGAGCAGCGCATCCCTGCTTCATTACTGATAATTAAGACAAGTAATACTTTCTTGGCAGTAATGTGTCCGTTAACAGATACAGTCTAGTTTGCATAAAATAAGCATTAATTACCATAGTACTAGCCCAGATTAAAAAAATTAAGTACCTGTGTAACATGGCTTCATTATTTTTT